GCTATACCCTTTTGTTCTCTTTCACTTTAAAACCCACCACATAAAGTAGGTCAAACCACCGCACAAAAAACCAAAAAAAGTAGGCCAAAGTAAAATGTGAATTATTGTGCATTGGGTTCTGCCAAAGTATCCCTAAAATTAAAAATAGCATCAGCTCGGCATCGTGGTTCATGCCCTAAGTCAAAGGCTTGGTCATTGACCACTTAATTTCCAATTGTTTTTTATTGAACATACCAATTTCTCAAAATTTCCCAAGGTGAAAAAAAAAAAAAAAAAAGAGCCCTAAAAAGTTTCAGTTGAGTTTAGTGGAACTCTGGAAAATTTTGCTTTTTAAACTTTTATTTTTAAATTATTATTATAAAAATATTATTTTACAATTTAAATTATATTAAATTATAAAATAAAATTTATTAAATAAAAAATCTTTAATATTAAATGACTTATTTTTATTTAATAATTAATATAATACAATTGAATGATCCGTTCCGATCCAGTGGTATTGGATCCTGAATTAAGACTATTCACTTTTATGGATGGCGTGTTCAAACTCCATGAAATTTATTTCCCCCTCACCATATACACTTGTAAATAATGTCAAATTATTCAAAAAATATATATATACTACAATTTATTACAATTTACACTTTACTTTTTTTTTTTGTTACTGTTACTCCTTATTCACGAAAAAAAAAAACTTTTTTTTAATGGATTGTGGTGTCATGGGGGCTGGGCCCTCCTCTGTCGATGGCTCGACCACAAGGGACCGGCCCCATCCGTGGCTCGAGAAGGTGAGTTGGTAGGGTCAAGCGCATGGCTTGGTTGAATTTCTTCATCATGCCAATCTTGTTGAGGGACAGGGAAGGGACCTCACTTCCTCTCTCTATCGGTTTGTTGGTTCTCACTGCTAGCTGGGACCAAGGCTCTGTACTCTACCAAACAAATCTACTAGGGCTTTGTGACTTGTGAATCACATTTCCAATTCTTAAAATAGTATAAATAGTTTCACAATTTGCACTTAAATTTTATGATTTGATAGTTATATATCTTATTATAAAATATTATAGATTTAAATCTCCCCTCTCTAAATTATAATCTATTTAAAAAAAATAGTTTCACATTTTGCTATTATTTAGAAAAACATTTTCTTATTGTTTGTATGATCTAATTTATGATTTCTTTTTCACATCAAAAGATAAGTATAAAATTTTAATTTTAATCTTAAATTAAAAATTTTACATTAATGAGTACAAATGAAACCCCACTTTTGTTGGTTTTTTTTTTTATACAAACATTTCGTTATCCGATAATCATATTAAATTTTGATTAATTCAGAATTGAATTAAGTCGATCTCATTAAGGAAAACTCTCTCAACGCCTATTTTTTCACTCATAAGACTTCAACTCTCGATATTTTACCTAAGAGAAATCGAACTCCTTCTATTCAAACTAACATGTTATTAGGCTTTTTTTCTCTCTTTTTACAAACGCTAACTGATCTACAAGATATATATTTCACATTTTCACTAGATGAATGCAATTCATGATTGGCCTTATCATTTTCTTAATCATTAAATCAGTGCATCCGCCCAATCTCTAAAACCATACAAGTAAAAAAAAAAAAAAAAGTTGTTATATTGCATGAATTATATATCTTAAATTATTAGACTACAAATGGGTCTTCTATATTAGATATTCTCTTTTTATTTAATAATTTTTATTTTATAATATAATATAATTTAAATCACTTAATAAGTGACCTACTAATAATATGGATTCAATGTCAATCGGAAGGAATCAAAACCTTCTAAGGTTGTTAGTTCTAACCAATGTTATTATTTTTCGTTGTTTTAGTTATCCTAATTTGATTGTATTTAGTTAACTTAATTTGGTTGCATAGGTACGTGTTTAGATATTATTTTTTAATATTATATAAATAGTAAATCTTATACGTAAATCTTGGTATGCAATTTTATTTATAAAAAATAAATTAATTGTTTTTTATATGTTATAAAAAAATGTTTGATAATATTATAATTATAATATTATATAAAATTATAAATTTACAAATAAATCTTAAGTAAAAAATTAATAAAAAATTATATTTTAAATTTATAATATTATAAATATATTATTTAATATTACATAAAAACTTTTGATTGTGTAATCTAAATTAAATTATAAACTATTAATGACTAAATGGGTAAAAAGCATCTAATATCAAGCCACCCTTATTATCATTTAGTCCATAACCATCCAACTGCGTGACAAATTTTTTATTACATAAAAATACATAAATGTTTTATTTAAATTAAATAAACACCATTATATAAGAGCATTCCCTCCATGTGGCGCATTGGTGGTCACATTAAAAAGCAGATGGAATGCATCCTCAATCCCTCAAGTTGAATATGATTTATTATTTTAAATAGATACTATCCTAATTTAACACTATAATTTCTTTTATTAAAAAAAAAAAAAAAACCATTACATAAGAAGAGAGACCCTATGCAGTCTGGGGCAAAAAGTGCAAATGAACCCCTGTACTTAGCAATCAGTGGTATATCAGCCCCACAACTCATTTCAGTAGCAAACAAACCCTTAAACTCTTCAACTGGTGGAAAATCAGCCCTTCATTAACTTTACATGATGATTGTTTAAGTGGCATTTTTGTGAGCCCATGTGTTTTTTTTTTTTTTTTTTAAATTGAAATTAATTATATATATATTAGTTAAATGAGGAAAAAAAATTTTATGAGGTTTAGATACGTCACTTATAAATAATAAACAACCTTAATTTAAAATCTATGTTATTGAATGAGAACATGCCATTCTTGTGGGTCCATGTGTTGACAAGGCTGCTTAGATGGTATTTTATGAACCAAATTAAAGGCATGGCACACCCTTTTATAAGTTAATTTATTAATATGAATATATTATGCTAAAAATATATATATTAATTTGGAAAATTCTAAAAGAAAATATTAATTCTGGAAAAAAAAAAACTAAATAAGAATTAAACTATCTTCTTCCCCAATGAACATCCAAATTTCAGTCTGGAGGTTTCAGAAACACTACTCCTTTTTTACGCCTAACTTTTAGAACCATATGAGTTTCCTATCGACTTTTGCTTGTCGAACGTCAATCCAACCTTAACAAAAACTTCCTCCACTTGGCCACATTTCTAACCACCTTTTACTTTCGCTCTTCATCATCGCAAAATGCTGGATAATACCAAAGCCAACTTCAGTTATGGCTAACTATGGTCGTTGGGCAATAATGACACTATAGCCCAACACTATATCACTGTTAGCAACCCCAGATCTAGAAAGTTTCTAGATTTGCTGTAAATCATCTCTCCGAGCTCTTGTCCTCTTCCACGATTAGGGAAACGTGTTTTCTTCTCCTTGGAAGAACTTGAGAATTGAGGAGAGGAAAGTGAGTAATATTACAAATTTTTCTCCTTTGAGGAATGAAATGATGAAGTCACTAAGGATGGGAGAATGAGAAACTCAATGATGGTGGTAGAGGAGGGCCAAATTCTCACTGTTGAAGTCTAAGAAGGAGATTAAAAAGTCTTTCATGGAGATTACGGGCATAGGCTTCTCGCCAACCAAATAAGAGGTCAAGATTTTTGTGGAAACAATTAGATGTAAATTCGAGTTTTAATTGGGGTTCTCATTCGTTTCACTCTT